GGCAAGAATTAAAGTTAACGGGGCGCTTTCTAATGTTTTTAATTTACAGAGAGGGACACGTCAGGGTTGCCCTTTAAGTCCCTCACTCTTTGCTCTTTTCAAAGAGGCCCTGAGTCAAAGTGTTATACAAAGCAATAATATTACTGGAGTCAAGATCATGGGTCGAGAGCATAAGATTTCCTTGTTTGCTGATGATATTTTGATGTACTTGACAAATCCAAACATTACTCTCCCCAAGCTGTTATCACTTCTGGAGACCTTTAGCTCACTATCAGGTTATAAACTAAATATATCGAAGACTCAGATATTAACTTTTAATTATAAGCCAAATCAGGAAATTAAGTCTAAAGTCAATTTGAACTTCGAGTCGGAGCAGATGAAGTATCTTGGAGTAAATATTACTAAAGATCTCTCTAAGATATATAATGCAAACTTTAATCCTTTGTGTTATAAAATAAATGAGGATATTAAAAGATGGAACTTATTACCATTTTAAAATTTTGAATCACGTATTGATACAGTTAAAATGAATATCTTGCCCAGGATGCTTTTTCTGTTCCAAACACTCCCAGTTGAAATAACTGATAAACAATTTCAGGAATGGGACAAAATAATCTCTAGGTTCATATGGCAGGGGAAAAAACCACGGATTAAGTACCAAACTATCCAGTTGGCTAAAGACAAAGGGGGGCTGGGGTTCCCATGTTTGAAAGATTATTATATTTCAGCTGAATTGAGGATATTAGTGTGTTGGTGTAATGTAGACTACCAAGCGAGATGGAAAGAAATAGAAACAGAAACAGTGGCCTTAAGAGATTTTCCAATTCAGGCAAGCTTAGGGGATGTGACACTTATTAAAAAACAAATTAATCAAGGAAACCAATGGATTAACCTGCCTTTAAAACTTTGGTTACAATTTCTTAATAAGAATGATTGGAATGAAGAGGTTAGGATTTTAAGATGGTGCGCTTTTAATTTTGATTTTTTACCCAATAAGTTAGATGTAAGATATAAAAAATGGGCAGGGCAAGGCTTAATGGCATATTGTATGTTTTATGATAAGGGAATTCTTAGGGACTTCCAATCAGTAAAAGATCAATACCAGTTAAGCAAAACGGATTTTTTTAGGTTTCTTCAAATTAGGCATCACCTACATAACTTTATACATAAAACAACAGATCTTTTCTCTCTTCCTGTTTTGAATATATTTGTCAAGGCTTACAAGGCAGATCCCAGCCTCAAGGTGATTTCTAGACTGTATAAGGGTATACAAGAGGTTAAGAAGCGGAATACTACCTACATTTAAAAAAAAATGGGAAAGGGAAACAAATACAGAAATTTCAAATGACATTTGGTATCAGCAGTGTGCTTTTCAGTGGAGAATTTCTAGTTCTAATATATGGAGATGTTTTGGTTGGAAGAGTCTCTGTAGGTTTTTTATTACTCCTACACAAAGTAAACATTATTGTAATCACTCTAGCTGCTGGAGAAACTGTGGGGCCCAAGGAATAAAACATTTCCACTTGTTTTGGTCTTGCCTATTGATCAACACGGTTTGGGTATCGATTCATTCTGAGTTACAGATCATTTTTAGTATGCAACTTCCCTTTAATTGGGATGAACTTTTGTTTGGATATTTATACTCAGTGAATGTAGATAAAATGTCCAAGCTGTTGTATGGTATTCTGAGTTTGGCTGCCCGTAAGACTATTACCAAGAAATGGCTTAGTGTGAAAATTCCATCACTAAATGACTGGTATGAGATTGTTTATGGGATGTTTTAAAATGGAAAGAATTACCTTCATTAATAGACTCCAATATGACATATTTAGTGATATTTGGGATAAATGGAAACATTACATTTTGTCAAGGAGACCCGATTTTGTTTGAAT